AATTTTTATTTAGCATTGTTCTAAGTTTCATTATTGTCCACAATGTTTTTAATTCTTACGGGCTTGAGAGTTGATTGATTTAATAGACTAGGTTGAGATAGAGAGATTAAATCTAATTAGTCTAATGTAATAAAATCATAGATTGAGTGAACGTTAGAGAAATGTTATCGCGATCTGTAAGGTTTTAATAAACTTTATAGAGTTTAATGATTCTTAAGATTTAAATCCAATTTAAAGATATTTTAGATTAGTAATAAATGATTAACCTAATAATTATTTGAGAGAAAGTTATTAAAATTGTGGAAAGTTTAACCCATAAAAAAAGCCTAACATTGTTAGCATTAATTGTAATTGATGTGTAATCTATGCATTAAATTTAATCATATTGTTTTACATCCAACTTTTATGTTTGATCTGTAATTTGTCTTAATTAGTTTTTAGTTTTTAAATTCTTGGTTTTAATTATTTAATCTTATAAAATGTTGGTTAATAAAAAAATAATAGGATAATAATTCTCAGGTCCGACTACTCAATCTATATTTACCTGTACGATTCCGTACGCTAGCGGAAAAGCCTGTCACATATTTGAGCCAGAAATTTAAAATGAGATAAATGACAGCTTTTCATATTTTAAGGTTTATAGTTTCCATTAATTCAAGTTTAAAAAAAGATACATTTGAGTGTTTCTAGCCTCAGGGTTTCCTCAATACAGAAAATATGCAGTTCCTTCCTTTTATCTGGAATAAGCATTTTTTAATAGAAGCACTTAAACCGCGCGTTTAAAAGTAAATAAAGACAAAAAAAAAAAAAAAAAAAAAAAAAAAAAAAAAAGAAAAGAAAAAGGTTGGCGATATCCAAAGATCAAAATTGTTGCTGTGAAATAGGAATGTGAAAAACTCACCCTACTTTGTGATTGGTTTTCAAGTCTTTTCTTATACCTAGATTCTTATGTAGGTTACAAACTTTCTTTATTCACTTTAATTGGGAAGTGGAAATACCCAACCCACTAGTGTTCTTTTCTGAGGTTTGTTGTTTGAGGGCTGCTTTTGTGATTGGTTTTCAAGTCTTCTTATACCTAGATTCTTATGTAGGTTACAAACTCTCTCTTTTATCCCATTGTAGACAACTAGTTCACTTACATGTACTATTTTTCTTTTTAATCTCTTTTGTAATAATAGACTTTATCCTGTTAAAAAAGTACTGCCTGTTCTAGAACATTATTTATGTATACTTTCTTTATCTCCTTTGTAATAATATATTCAGTTTCCTATATAAAAACAAAGAAGTACTGCATGTTCTGGGTTTGCTTTGATATTTATTTTCGAATTTATATAAATACTTGAATGGCATATGGTATTTGGCAGGTTGAAGGTGTTACAGATATGGAGCTATGGCTGGTGCTGTTCCCTGTGTCGACCCAAAAGATTCTTCTCGATATATCCTATATGGTCGACCAATCTCTTCTATCAAAACTATTACTAGAAAGAGAATATAAAGACATATACATGAAAGGTATAAAAAATTGTATTTATATGTAGTTTATATGTATGTATTTTATTTCGATTGTGAAAAATGTGAAACTCATCTAAATAATCTAATTGTTTAATTAACTAAATCAAATATAACAAAAAACTAGGTGTGAGTGGTTCTAGGTATCTTACATTTTTCGGGGGAATCAGAATAGGAAATGGAACCGTATGGTGCAGGTTCCCAAAAAAAGAAACTGGAACTAGAACTGCACAGTGTAGGTTCTTAAATTCAAGGAACCGAAACCTAAAATGCAGGTTTTGGTTCCTTTCTTGAGTACCCTATAAAAATAAATTACCCCCTTATTAGTTTAAAAAATGATAAAAATACCTTAAAAGTTTACAAATACACCCCAAACAAATTTTGATTACTCATTTATTTGTGTCCAATGTGACTCATAAATCTTCTAATCTCTAGATAACACTTGAATTCAATCAATTCATCACAATTCACATAAAATTCATCAATCAAAACCAAAACACAAACAATTAATTAAATTAATTAGACAATCATACTATAAATCTATAATTTACTATTACAATTAATTAAATTTCTAATCATTTAATTAAGTATTATACTAATATTTATGATGAAATATTATAATTAATTAAGTAATCATACTATAAATCTATAATGTAATGTTATAATTAATTAAATTTTTAATCATTTAATTAAGTAATGTACTAATGTAATAAATTACTAATGTTTATAATGTAATGTTATAAATTTATAATTAATTAAGTAGTCATTTAATTATGCAATGTTATAATTAATCAAGTGAATATACTATAATGTAATTAATGTTATTATTAATTAAGTAATTATTTAATTATAATGTAATGTTTTAATTTATTAAATTTATAATCATTTAATTAAGTATTGTACTAATATTTATAATAAAATGTTATAATTAATTAAGTAATCATACTATAAGTTTACAATGTAATGCTATAATTAATTAAATTTTTAATCATTTAATTATGTATTGTTACTAATGTTTATAATATAATGTCATAATTAATTAAGTAATCATTTTATTATGTAATATTATAATTAATTATGTGATCATACGATAATGTAATGTTATAATGAATTAAGTAATTATACTATAAATCTTTAATATAATATTATAATTAATTAAATTTCTAATCATTTAATTAAATATTATACTAATGTTTATAATGGAATGTTATAATTAATTAAGTAATCATACTATAAATTTATAATGTAATGTTATAATTAATTAAATTTTTTAATCATTTAATTAAGTATTGTGCTAATGTAGTAAATTATTAATGTTTATAATATAATGTCATAATTAATTAAGTAGTCATTTACTTATGTAATGTTATAATTAATTATGTGATCGTATAATTTATAATGAATTAAGTAATCATACTATAAATCTTTAATGTAATATTATAATTAATTAAATTTTTAATTATTTAATTAAGTATTGTACTAATGTTTATAATGAAATGTTATAATTAATTAAGTAATCATTTGTTTATAATGTAATGTTATAATTAATTAAGTAATTATACTATAAATCTATAATGTAATGTTATAATTAATTAAATTTCTAATTATTTAATTAAGTAATGTACTAAATTACTAATGTAATGTTATAAACTTATAATTAATTAAGTAATCATTTAACTATAATGTAATATTATAATTGATTAAGTAATCATTTAACTAGCTAGTAAGGTATTATTGTTTATCAATTTATTTTATATAATTAATTAATTACTAATTTATTACAAATATACTTAAAACTTGATAATTGAAGTAAATAACTAAATGTTATATTATTATTCAATCAAATATACTATTTTATTCAAAAACAATTCTTTTAATAACATTAAAATACTTTTAATTAGTCATAATTCCAATTATACACTTAATTAATCAAAACTTTAATATTAATATATTATAATATATTAAAGTTTTTTTATGTGGTGTAGTTTATATGTAATAAGTATGATTGTATATTTATTTAATTAGGTTATTGTAAAAATTTAACTTTTTCCATTTTAATTTTTTTATATGTAAAATTAATTAGACCCCCCATTCTTCACAGATATTTCATTTCAGCCCAGGTTCCAAAACAGGGTACCAACTGCAGGTTATTTTTTCTAGGTTCAGGTTCCTCCACATGTAGGAACTGGAACTGGAACTGCACAGTGTCTGTTCCAAAAAAAGGGAATTGGAACCTACCTGCACAGTGTCAGTTTCGGGTAGGTTCTAGTTCCGGTTCTGGTTCTACCCGTAGGTTCTGGTTCTACCTGCTACCCGTGCTCACCCCTACTTTTTTTATTGGTTTTCAAGTCTTCTTATACCTAGATTCTTATGTAGGTTACAAACTTTCTTTATTTACTTTAATTGGGAAGTGGCAAATACCCAACCCACTAGTGTTCTTTTCTTTGAGGTTTGTTGTTTGAGGGCTGCTTTTGTGATTGGTTTTCAAGTCTTCTTATACCTAGATTCTTATGTAGGTTACAAACTTTCTCTTTTATCCCATTGTGGACAACTACTTCACTTACATGTGTTACTTTTTTTTTTTTTAATCTCTTTTATTAATAATAGACTTTATATCATGGTAAAAAAAGTACTGTATATCAGTAATACTAGGCTTACACCACCTTCTCACATCATTCTCTCACATCATGACTTGGCACTGCCATGTCATCTGCCACATCATTAAAAAGCCACGCAATTTCCCCCCAAATTTAAAAAAAAAAAAAACCAAAATTTCAGTTCCCCCTAAATCTAATCTCTCTCCCAAAACAAAATCATCTGAATCGAACTCTCTTCTTCCCTTAAATTAGAAATCTCTCTCAAAGTTGCCCTACAATCAATCTTCCACCACTGTCATGTGCAACTCCTCTTCCTAAATTTTTTTTCTCTCCAGTACACTTATCTTGATGAGCTGAGCCTCATTATTCCAGGAAGAGCCAATACGATGAAGAAATCCTGAGAAGATATTCAGAGAAAGTTAAAAATGGAAATCCAAGAGAGTCATCACAGCTGGCACGAATCGTGGTCGGAGACAGACAGCAATCCTGGAAGCAATAGAGCCGGATACAGTAGACCTTTGAGCGGTTCGATAACATCCAACAGCAAGAAGACCCACTGTTATGACAAGAAGACAGCAATCATTTGTGACTCCTCGCCTTCCACCACCATGGGCTGCAAGGATTTGTAGATATATGGCCAAGACCCACTGTTACGGCTTGGAAAATAATTGCTTGTTATGCAGCATTTGAGGCTGCCCTTCAGCTTCTTCTGCTGGAAAAAAGGTTGAGGGCCCAATATCTCCGACTGGGAACCGACCTGTTTACAAGGTTTCTGTTACTTGATATCTTCTTCTCCAGAATGCCTTTATATATAGTTGTTCGCTGATAATGAAGAGACTAGCGATGTTACATACGAAGTAGAGTCACCCGACGAAGGGGCTTTTCTTATTGCTACTAGGGAGTTTGGTTTTGAGTTTTGTAAAAGAACTCAATCCAGTGTGTTTATTCGTGAAATATATCATTCTTCAGGACAACCAACTCAAAGGTGAGGATATAAATGAATAATTTTCCATGTAAAGCTTTTTTTCCAATTTTTTATTTCACTTGAATTTTTAGTGCCGTAGCATCTTAATTTCTTTTGGGAATCTTGCAGAGAGTACAAAATTCTCAATTTGTTGGATTTCACTAGCAAAAGAAAGCGGATGAGCGTAATTGTTCGGGATGAGGATAGGCAGATTATTCTCTTCTGCAAAGGCGCTGACAGGTTATCCTCACAACTTTTTTTAGATTTGGCTTCCTGTTAGAGGCCTTGAATGTGTATATGACTTCCATCTACTGTTTGGGGGCTGTTACTGGGTTCATTTGAGTTTTATAAATGGCAAATGATCAATATTAGCTATAATTTTCGAACTTTTGCAATCATCTTGTCGTATTCCACCATGCATGAGTTCTTTGCTTGGAATATGCAGCATTATTTTTGATCGGCTATCAAAGAATGGAAGAATGTATGAGGAAGTTACTACTAGGCACTTGAATGAATATGGAGAAGCTGGGTTGCATATATTGGCACTTGCTTATAGAAAGCTCGACGAGTCTGAGTATACATCTTGGAACCATGAGTTTCTAAAAGCAACTCAATATCAATCAGCGAATATCATCAAGTTCTATTGGTATATACTTTTATTGTGTTTATTTTCAGGTTCGGCATATTCAATCCCACAATTGTTTATGATCATTTGGGAGAAATATTTTCAGCACTTATTTTTGGAAGCCTCATTTTTTGTGTTTTCTTATACATTAAAGCGAGGATTTAAATTTAAGCTTGCTGTAATACATTTGTGTGTGGTTTGTGTGGTTGGTGAGAGGGACTGGCGATTGGGGGGTGTTTTTGGTAGTGGGGTGGTTGGCTTTATGGGAGGAGGTGAGGGCTGCATTGAGGCAGCTGGCGTTGGGGTCTTTGTGCGTTGCTATAGACTCATTTTCTCCCCTACTGTTGCAATTTTTTTTTACCAGTAGGGGGTTGTTCTTGCTGCTTTTTTGTTGTTGGCTGTCCATTCTTGCTGTTGTGTTGTTGCTTGGATGTTGCTGCTGTGGTTTGTAGCGTGGGGCTATGGCTGATTCACTTCTCCAGTTGATTTTTTGCTGCTATTTTATGGGCAATTTTATGCTCCTGCTCCAGGTGTTTTTTGGGGTCTTGTGTTGTGGCTACTGCTGTTCTCTTGCTTGTGTAAAGACTTTTTTGGTTTCCCATCCCTAGATGGTTTCTTTTGGCTGTTTAAGGGGTGTGTAAAAGGTGTACATTTTGGATCCTTTGCTTTCTTTTGTTAGGCGGCGTCCCTTGCTTGTTTAGGGTCGTGCGCATAGTATAGGAAGATGGTTGAGAAATTGTAAAAGCTTTCTTTTGTTTTCTTGTATTAAGCAGAGAATAAAAAATGTATCTTTGTTGATTGTACTATATTATGTTTTGTGGTTTGATTTGCAATAAACAAAAGCACTTAGTAACTTGTCATAAATTTATGCAGATTTTTTAACTCAAGATAGTAAGTGATCATTCATAGGAGAGTTAGAGATGATTCAAAACAAGTGTTACAAACTTTAAATGATGCATTCATAATCTCTTATTTCCACCCTAATAAGACTTCAATTACTTGCTAGATTTTTTTGTCATGAAACTTAAAATAAAAAGTACATCCAAGAGAAAAATTCATCCAATAATGAAATAGAACCTCAATGTTGCATTATAAAAACTTGTACACAACATACATTACAACATATATTATAAAAATGTGTACACAACATACATTACAACAGTAAGAAAATAAAGTGATGAGCTGGTTGTTTTGATCAATATTAGTACTCTCCTTCGATTAGTTGCAGCAAGCAAAAACCCAATCCACCCACTAAAAACTTTAGCAGTAGCTCACGAAAAGTGAAGGGAAGCGGCCAAACCAAGCTGTTGCCAGCAGCCATGGGACACATCACCCACTGCAGCAGAAAAAAAAAGCCAGCCTCCCAACAAGGATTACCCCAACTTGTAGTGTTAAAATGACAATTTCAAGATGAGGGTCCTTGAATATCTGAACCGTTAGCTTATCAACCACATCCCCCTCTAAAAACACAACATAAGAAGAGAAGACTCTAATATTAATATTAAGTTACACCAGGACACAACTCAAGAACCTTGTTTTATTTAGAATAATACCACACTTAAAATTTTTTTATGCAAACTATTGTATAAAAATTGATGTAACACAACTATAATGGAAGAGTGAAATACACAAGTTAACTCAATTAATAAGTAGCACTTTAATCTATATACAAACGGTTGTAGATAGCATTACTTTTGTATCTTTACTAAACTACTAGGCTTTATTAACTAGAAACTAATTTTTTTTTTTTTTTTTAAGCCCACTAATCCAAGACTTCAACGAAGCACAATCTTCAAAAACAAAAACCAGACAAACGAAACAAGCAGTTGCAGCAAGCAAAAACCTAATCCAGCCACTAAAATCAGCTCACGAAAAGTGAAGAGAAACAGGCCAAACCAAGCTGTTGCCAGCAGTCATGGGACACATCACCCACTGCAGCAGAAAAAAAAGCCGACCTCCCAACAAGGATTACCCCAACTCATAGCAACCCTCAACCCCTCCACCTGCTTGTACCCTTTCCAGACCCAACCACACCAAAAAGAAAAGCTAAAAACAATACCACTTAAAGTAAAAGAACAATTAAAAAATCATGCTTCAAGTGAGCACCCCCAACCACACCAACTGCATATTGCTAAACCATACTTCATATGCAAAGTGAAAGAACATAGAGAGTGTGATAGAAGTAAAGTGAAGTACCAATCAAGGAAAAGCTGCACATTTCATCCAAAATGTTTAGGCATTCAGAATTAATAATAATGAATGGTTAGTAAAAGGATCAATTTCAGCAAGGTGAGCTAAAGAAATAAACTGAAAAATTGAGGTGAATAAGGGCTGAGGTCTCATGAGACATGATGGCAAAATACAGCTCGTAATAGTGCTATAGTGACAGATGAATCAAGTAATCTAATTTAAATAAAAAGGTTAGGTGAGTTGTTATATATGTAGAACATGTTAAGATAACATAACCTTTTAATAAGCACTAGGAAAGAGAAGATTTTGATCACTTGAACAAACTGAAAGGATATCCAAAGTATATAGCTACCTTCTCAACTTAAAAAAATTTATCTACTTACCGTGCACACAAGGAATTGAATAAATGAAAGTAGCTCATTATTACCAATAAATTTACTGCAAGCTACCAAAAATGTGATCCATTGTAGCTTTCATATGAATAGATTTTCTTGGAACATGTCGAATACAGGTGGATAGGAAAGATAAAATCATGTCGCATCCTGGGTTACTGTGTAGAAGCCAGAGCCTTCTCATCAGGGCTGAACGCTGTTGCAATAGTTGACCTTGGGGGAGGCAACAATGCACAATAATCTGTTGATAGACGCTGCAATGATTATGATTCTACATGAATTTGTTATAGAAATTTCATAAACAGCTGTATATCTAGACATCACCACCAAACGATGTCCCTCCCTGGCAAACATTAATGATCCCAGACCTTAACATTTAGACAATATAAAAATAAAAACCAGAAAAATACAGTCTACAAACAACAACTATAACAAATTATATAAACAACGTCGAACGTTACGGGTGCAACGTTTTGGAACCCAGCAAGTGGGAAATAATCACTTTACAGGTGCAGCGCTCGTTGGGGACGCAATTGGAGGAAACCGTGGTGGGCTTAGAAAGAATCAGGTTCACTAAGGAAAATTGGAGAGAGATTTTAGTGTTTGTATTTTGGAGAAACCGAGATTCGATTTGGGGTTTGTTTTAGGTACATTGAGAGTTGAAATTTTGGAGAAACTGAGATGGATTTGGGGTTTGTTTTAGGTAAATTGAAAATTGAAACTTTGGGCTTTGAGAGAGATTTCTAATTTAGGGGAAGAAGAGAGTTTGGCGTTGATTTTGTTTTGGGAGAGAGATTAGATTTAGGGAGAACTGAAATTTTGGGTTTTTTTTTTTTTTTTTTTTTTTTTTTTTTTTTTTTTTAATCTAGGGAGAAATTGCGTGGCTTTTTTATGATGTGGTAGATAAGGTGGCAATTTACCACGTCATAATGTGAGAGAGTGATGTGAGATTTTGGTGTAAGCCTAGTATTACTGTTTATGTATACTGTCTTTATCTCCTTTGTTAATAATATATTCAGTTTCCTATAATAAAAACAAAGAAGTACCGCATGTTCTTGGGTTTGCTTTGATAGTTATTTATTCTGAACTTCATATGAATACATGAATGGCATATGGTATTTGGCACGTTGAAGGTGTTACAGATATGGCAGCTATGGCTGGTGCTGTTCCCTGTGTTGACCCAAAAGAGGAGTTACATGATCCATCCCTTGTCCTTGGCTCCGCCTGATATTGACAAGTAGTGGTTTTTTCCTCTGCTTTCATGATGCATAGTGAATAGATTCTGTTTTTGGTTTAGCACTTAAATCTTTGATTTTGATTTCTAGGTTAAATGCTGCTTACCTTTCAATTCATGGAAGTGCCATATTAGGCCAGCCCATGGGGCTGAAAACTTCTTCACTTACTCCACAAGCTTAGATTCATATTGCGGTGTCTACTGCACTTTTGCTTTAGAACTCTCGGAGGATTTACCTTCTTTTGGTCTCACTATACGATTGTCGATTATGAAGACTAGAGCATTTTCTTTCCATGTTATGTAGATTCTAGCGTCACTTTTGCATGTACAGGTTAGACCGTTAAGGGTTTATTGTATAATTTCAAGTGGGTTAACTTCAAACCATGCCATCAGGAGATACATCATTGATACAAAAATCTCCCTGTTCTCTATTTCCCTTGTCATCTCATGAATCTGGTGAATTTCCCATATAGATAATAAATGAAGCAAGCCATTAATCCTGCAAGTGTTTAAAATTTGAGGCAAACTGAAATGATTTCACTGGCATTCTGCCTTTGCTGAACTTACTTATTTCTTGAGCAATTTTTTGAAGCTCAAAACAATGCTTGCTTTGATTAAAGCCACAGAAAAACATGTATTGCAGTCAAAAGTTTTGTTCAACACTTAAGGATACAAAGATTGCAAAACAAATATAGCTTTGAGAGAGTTGATAGCCAACAGTTCAAGAACATAAAAGTATGAATACTCAAGCTCTTCAATATTGATAGGAGCTTGAAAATACATGTTTATTGAGTGATTTATTAAGATTATTTGTGGGAAAATTAGTTTAAATTGTAAAATTTGAGTTAATTATTTCATAAATATCTTTTATTGGATCAAGTTTGTTTTGAGTATTTTCAGGATATTAATGGTTAAAAAGGATACTTGGATGAAGAAGAACAATGTCAATGGAATTCGTGATGAGTAGGAATGAACGGTGCAAGAATTGGAGTTGAAACACGAGAGTTATGGTGCGTTGAAGATGAGAATTGAATCTTGGAATTTCTTCAAGGATGAACATGTTTTAGTATTTTGATCATAACTTGAGCTGTGAACCTAGGAATTGGATGATTTTTGTGGTGTTGGAAAGCTGATTTAGAGAGTTACGATTCTTGTGTTGATGACTTTGTCAAATTCTGAAGATATCAGGCTTGTTGGAGGGAAAGAATGGTTGCCACAGCGATGACATTCGAGCTTGTATGGGCTGTGTAAAGCCTAATCCAATTTTTACTTGTTTTAGTTGAACTAAACCTTTCCCTGTTCAACCCACAAACCCTAGCATTATAAATAAAAGTCTTTAGTTAGTTTTAGAGGAGGAGAACGAAAGAGACAGAAGAAGAGCTGCAATCGGGAAGATCAAAGCATCCATTCTTGGAGTTTTGGTTCGCCAATTAGAGAAATTTTTCTATTTCTTTGATTCTTTCTTGTATTCATGTTTATTATTTTTACAATGGTTGTTTTTTTTTTTCATTCAATTATGAACTATAAAGTTTTTAGAGTTAAGATGTAGCTTAATTTATGAATTTGTATTGATTTTATTATTGTTAATTTTTATTGAGCATTGTTCTAAGTTTCATTATTGCCCATGATGCTTTTAATTCTTACGAGTTTGAGAGTTGATTGATTTAATGGACCAGGTTGAGATCGAGAGATTAAATATAGTTAGTTTAATATAATAAAATCATAGATTCAGTGACCATTAGAGAAATGTTATCACGATCTGTGAAGTTTTAATAAACTCTATAGAACTTAAATGATTCTTAAGACTTAAATCCAATTTAGAGATATTTTATGTTAATAATAAAGGCTTAATCCGGTAATTGTTTGAGATAAAGTTATTAAAATTGTAAGAAGTTTAACCCATAATAAAAGCTTAACATGGTTAGTATTAATTGTAATTGATGTGTAATCTATACATTAAATTTAATCATATTGTTTTACAACCAACTTTTAAGTTTGATTTGTAATTTGTCTTAATTAGTTTTTAGTTTTAAAATTCTTAGTTTTAATTATTTCATCTTATAAAATTTTGGTTAAAAAAAAAATAATAGGATAATTTATTTTGATAGGTGGTAACAAGTAATTCTCAGGCCCGACTACTCAATCTATGTTTACCTGTACGATTCCGTAAGCTATCAGAAAAACCTGTCACATATTTGAGCCAGAAATTTAAAATGAGATAAATGACAACTTTCCATATTTGACTGTTTCTAGCCTCAGGGTTTCCTCAATACAGAAAATATGCAGTTCCTCAAATTAAGCAATTCCTTTTATCCGGAATAGGCATTTTTTTAATAGAAGCACTTGAATCGCGCGTTTAAAAGTAAATTGAAAAAAAAAAAAAAAAAAAGTTGGCGACATCCAAAGATCAAAATTGTTGCTTTGAAATAGGAATGTGAAAATTCTGAAAATGGAAGTCTTGAAATCATAGATACTTGGACAACCATGGTAGCTCCTTGCTGTCTTTCAGCGCGAAAGCCACATCATCACTGCCACAAAAGCAAGATGAAGTTGGTTAGATCACAATGCTATTGCTAGCAAGGTTTCTGATGCTAATATAATTTGGGAAGATGGATGGTTAATTCCAGAAAATGGACGACAACTACTGCTATTCTAAGTGATTCTGAAACTCAGAAGAATGTTAGAATAAGGCAAAAGCCAAATATCAAAGCATAACAAGATTGATTAAAATAAAATGCAAGCAAACTTTTCTGAACCTCAAACAATTGGGTTGGATGATAAATATCACTGTTCTAATTGAATAAAAAGGATTTATGCGTTGCCAATCAACTAGAAAATGTTGAAGTTACAGAAGCTATTATGATGTTAACATCAATCAGCAATACTTTTGACATAAAGGTCTTTGGTTTTGGTCAACTGCAAATCCATCAAATCCCTTGCTTTACCATGGAACTTCACATACATGCACTCAAATACACTCCTTTTGACACATCCTAAGTTGGCTCACTCATGACATATCAAACAAAGCATAACAACCTCAAGTAGTTGGCGAAACAGTCTTTTCAATTGGAAGGACAGAACCGTTCGAAAAATGCCCCATTCTAAGGTGACCATGGATAAAAAGCTTCATGGTAGCTGAGGAACTAACCTGGGAAAATTGAGCTGTAACTTTTGCAACCTGTGCCTGGATCCTGGTTCACATAGAATAATTCTGCACTCACCAAGCTTACAGCTGCCAAAAGGAAATGATCAAATATATTAATATAAGTTATCCCACAAAACTGGAATCTGGGAATCATCAGTACTATCTGAAATATGCATTACAAGGACAAGTAAAAGCAGAGTTCATAAATATGCCCATAAACTATAGAATTACAAAAGTAATGATGATTTGAAGTTTTTTCCAAACTTGTCAACAATAATTTTCCTCTAGTTCTTTCATGAGCCTTTTAAAATCCGAATATCTGTAATTTTTTTGTTTCACTTTATAAAACCAAGTAGGTTTTTTCGCTATGCTTTTATAAGTAAAAAATGGAATGATATTTTTCTCATGGTTTTCAATTTTAACGCTAAAAATCTGTAGGCTTGAAAATATGCTAGAAAATAATAATTTTGGCCAGGAATGTGAATACTATAATCGTTACAAGCATATATTGAACAAACATCATATATGGAAGTGAAAGCTGGCTCACCCCACTTTCAAGAGTATGTCCCAACCAGGAAATGTTTCTCCATTGCTTGTACAGATAAAAGAAACAGTCATTGCCAACTGCAGTAAAGAAAAAAGAAAAAAGATGTGAGAAAATAGCCACAAAGCGCTTGACCTCAAATTTATAAGGGCTTCCACAAAATTTAGCAGGAAACACTTGAAAAGAAAATGTATAAAAAAGTTTGCTTAGTTTATGGTTAAGGTGTGTATTAGCATTTAGGACTCACTTTCCAGTCTTACAACAGTTTTACTTAACAATTTTACTGAACCTAACTTAAAAAAAAAAAAAAAAAAAAAGTGAAAAACATGTGACCTTTCATCTATAGGCAAAGTTTGCTGATAAATCTTTCATAGTGCCAAGCATTGGAATAGTATGGTATTTGTAAAATGTGGAATGAATTTCAGTGTGGCTGGTGCATGAACATGGTTAAAGTTTGGCTCCCTTTGGTTTCTAGTTAGGACTGTAAAAAAAAAAATCGAAAATCGAACCGAACCGAGAAACCAAACCGAAACCGGTCCGGAAAATTGGTTTTTCAAAATAACCAATTCGGTTTTGGTTTTTAAAACAAAGAAGCCGAAAAATCGGTTTGATTAACGGTTCAATTGTAATTTTGAACCGGTTAACCCAAACCGATTTTTCCATAATTTTGAAACCACCAAAAGAGAGAGAGAGAGAGAGAGAGAGAGAGAGAGAGAGAGAGAGTTCAAAAATAAGAAATTAAAAAAATAAAAAAACTGACAAAGAGCAGCTGCACCCTGCACGCCACCTGCTGTGCATTTAATTCCTTGGAGCTCTCACCATCTTTAAGTCAAGTCAAATACAATAACTCCTTGCTCCTTATGTTTTCAATACCCCACCATCTCTCAGTTTCCCTCCTCCCTTTACTGCTTCTTCTCCTACAACTACAAATAGCCATTTTTTTTCCTAAATCTAACTTTCCACCCCAGTCGTAGCTGCTCGACCAACTTTTTTTCCCAATCACAATCGACTTTATTCTTTTTCCAAGTCTTCTCTCCCATCTCAATCGACAACAGCCTCCACACTCAATAGCATTCGTTTGATACGGTTAAATTCTTTGATTTATCTCTTTTAACTTTCTAATAACTTTCTAAGTTTTGCAAGCTTTTTCATTCACCAATCTTCTTATTTTTCTCTCTTTAGAAAGGTCACTCTATCCAACAAAGTTCAGATATCATGATTGTATATGAGTTGACGGGGTGGAAGGTGGAGTGTGGATGGTTTGACGTTGCGAGAAAGTTGGTGACGGACTGACAGTAGTTCGACATCGTGAGAATGGGGATTGTTTTATAAAACCAAACCAAATTATCGGTTCGGTTAATAATCGGTTTAAGAGATAATTTGATTCGGTTTCGGTTTGAATTATCTCCTGAACCGAAAAATCGGTTCGGTTCAAAATATCAGTATTCCGGTCCAGTTAACCGGATTTTTGCACCCCTATTTCTAGTGCCAAAAACAAGGACACATACTTTTAACAAATCAGCAGAAAGATTAGAGGGTGCTTGAAAAATTGACCTTTTCAAAGTCAGTTTCACCCATCCCAGTTTTATAGAGCTCATGCACCATGGCTGTTAAAAAGATTTTGCTCAGCTTGGAACTACTTTTCATAACCTGCAAAAGAAATAAAAATTTGTTTCACAAGACAAACTATTGCTGTAATCTTAAATCCTTTTTCCTCCCAATTAAAAAATAAAAAAATAAAATAACGTAACAACAACATTAAGCCTTAACCTTTCTAACCAAGTAAGGGAAATAATACAGCTAGCAACAGAATATAGTGTATGTTCCAAATAATGCACAAGTATGTAAATGCATAATCATCAGTTATGATATTTCCAGTTGTTGTATAATAACCCTGACTAATGATAGTAGAGCACTATTTGACTTCTCTCAGCTTATTTGGATATCTAGAAAACCTAGAGCTGCCGTCCATTTTGATAACAGAATAGGACTGACTAGTCATTGATGATAATTCTATCCATAACCAGGATTTCTCTTTCCTGGAAACAACCATAGCCTTGAACATCGCATATGCAAAGATTCCCGGTTTCATGCTTCATACAGAAATCACAAACACTGATACCACAATCCATTTTCCATTTTCCATTCAATAAAAATTGAGGGCTAAGTGTCAGAAAAATACAGAAGAAGACTCAATGTAAGCAAAATAAATAGCAGTTTTTAACTCACCTGAATATGAGGTGCCTGGAACATTTCCTGAATAGCTGCTTCAACATCTGCCATAGCAACAAGGCCTTTTCCTGGAAAATGGTAGAGTTATAAGAGACCAAAACAGCCACTTTAAGTTAGAGCTGCCTTAAAAGTAAATTGCATTACTGCACATATCAAATATGTGATAATAAAATCCTAATTGGTGATATCATTGACATGTAAGGGACATCAAACCATTGGCCAACAAACAAACTACTGAAAGTTCAAATCAATTTCTCACCTTAAAAAAAACAATTCCCCTATCTCTTGTTTCTAATTTGAGGAGAAAGTCATGTGAGGCAGTGTTTATTTACCTGCAGAAGCAGAACTGGGGTTCACAGTTAATTTCTTAATACGATAATCAGCAATTTCTGCAGCACGCCTGCATATCTCCAGAGCACGACGTGCATCTCCTGAAATAGCTGCTACCTAACAATGTACATAATATTCAAACTAGATTGAGAAAACTAATAAAATCCATATCTACGAAGAGTGCATACGTTGCACATAAGTTTTGGCATAGAGAACCAAATCAAAATCTCAAGGTCCTCCAAACACACAAGGACTAACCTTTCTTGAGGCAAATTCTATAGCTTGTCTTTCAAATGCTTCAATTCCTTCAAGGCGACTTGAAATAATTTCTTGGAGCTGCTGATAATTATAAGGGCCAAAGCAAAGCCTTTGTACACCCATGCGGCTTGAAATACGAGGAAGTAACTTTTCTGGAAGGTCCATAGTATTTGCTATTCCTGAAATTTGTAGTTATATTCATATGTTATGAAAAGAAATAAACAAAGATGATTGCGATTAAAATCATTATCATCTTATCACTGGATGCAAAACATGCTATCAAAGAGAAGGGAAAATAGAACTGATACCTATCACAATCAATTTGGAATGAGGCTTAGTGGGCCAATCAAGAATGTTATAAAGAACCTGAGGAAAAAGAAAGTGTCATGCATTTCACTTATACAAATATATGACATATGTCAAAATAAATATTCATAAATTTCACATCATAAGATGCCTAAGTTACCGATTGATTTCTGGTTACAAGAAGATCAAGTTCATCAATGAGTAGAATACAAGGCCGGTCATCTTCTTTGCAGATTTTCTTTCCATCTGAAAATCGCTCATTCAGTAATTGGAGAGCCTTTTTCCAACCAACCCTATGCCCGCTTAATGCTTCATATATAACCTGATAAAACACAGACAATATTTATTGGAGAAGCAACCTAAGGATGAAGTCCCAAACCATGAATCAAACAAGTTCATGATATTTTTACCCTATAAATATTCTCGGGAGATGCCAACTTTAGACCATTGACTTCCACAAAACTGTATGGTCTTATACTTCCTGCTTCAACTTCAGACTTCAGGTTCCGCATAACAGAAAGTACACTCATTGTCTTCAATTTCCCATGGACAAATAAGAATTAAATAAGTAAAACTCATAGAAGCTCCAATGAGATCAATAATTATTTCAAAAGAAAAACATCTCTGATTAAATCCAACAGATTTACCTTGCCAGTGCCTGGAACACCATGAATATACAGGCAACGTCCCAGACAATGATCATCACAGATGGCACCCTTTATAAATGTTGTTACCTCCTCCATTTCTCTACATAAAAACAAATTGATGATCAGAAACTATTGCATCACAAAACAAAAAATAACAATAATAATTATAACCAAGATTTACATACTTATTTCTACAAGGTAGAGATTTGGGTAGAGTTGCCAACAAAAGTGTTGCTTTAGCTCTTTCTATTTCAGTTGGTTTATGGCATCTCACATGCTCTGGGATTCTCTTTGTCCCTATCTTTTGAAGTCCAAAGAAGCGACCCTTCCTTGAGTTCTGTGTTCATTAGATAATTGATTAGTTTTTAAGTATTATGAAAACACCAAGCATGATTTGGCGAGTATGAAAAAACTACAAATTACGTACTGCAGCCAACTCATGAGCTGTGGGAGGTCTGGTTTGTAAATTCTTCACATATTCCTCTTCGTATTCCATGTCTTCATCAGTATCAGAGTCAGCAGCCTTACACAAATTCCAGTCTTCATCACTGTCAGCATCTTCGCCATCCTACCATTTGAAGGAGATTGGCAATGAGTTTCAACAGAATAGTCCCATTTTTATGATGTATGAGACAAGAACCAAAGCTTCAATTTTATGAATGCTTACCCCTTCATTATCAATCTCAGCAATGCGCTTGAAACTGTGCCAATGTATGTCATATTCATATTCACATAGAAAGACATCATCCCCTTCATTGCTGGCCTTGGAAAATTCTTTGGGATTCTTGACAAAGCAATGCCTAATGATAGATTCCATCTGGATTTACAAGTAATGGCAAAGATATAACTTTAGATAGGAATTTCTGTCTCTCTTGAATATGGAACCTTACTTAAAGTATCATATCATTAAATGAAGAAACTATTATAAGCATAAGAGTTCACATGGTAAGTTATATCAGAGATCAAGTCAGAAGTTGAAAATAATCAGACAAAGATTACAATAAAAATATGAATTATTCATGCCACAGCCAGAAAACAACTATTGTAACTTGTCAAACATAAACTTAGGCTCACCAGAGGTTCAATGCTGTGTTAAATGAACATTATGTGACTGACTATATAATTAATTGTTTATTCGTTAAAAAAAATATTTTCCATGTGATTTTATGGTCATGCAAACTCTTGCCTACAAACATAGATTATGATTGAGAGATGTAACTTGATAGGTTAAAAATTCCAGACACTGAACTCTCAACCTTTTCCAATAAATAGCTAGGATTTGAATAGACAATTCTCGAACCTTCTAATTACTGATTATCAAAAAGGCATTTGAAGTAGATGCCTCAATACAGCAACTCATGTTATATGTAGGCAGTTCAGTTCATCACAAAATCAAGAACACAGACAAAGGACTTTCTCCCACCACTTCACTATTCCCTTCCCTGTCTATCTATTTGCATGTGGTACACATGAACAGGCACAATTTTTTTTTTTTTTTGGTTAGTCTAGATGCATCTTACTACATTTCAAGTTCAATGTATTCAGTGTTACAGAAAATCCTCTCAAAACGTGTTTGTCATCAAGTATAATATGATTTTCAAGGACGTCTTTGCCACTGTTTATGGCTATCCAAACTTTTATTAAGTTTCATGTGCCACATAACAATACAGAAGCTTAAAATCAAAGAAATCATATGATGGAACAAAATTTCTTTATTTCCAAAAAGTTTTAACATTTTTGCTCCCAAAGACTGGTCAGCTTTGGCATCAAATTTTCAAAAGCTGGCTTGAAATCCAAATAAATAGAATCAAACACAGGCTTAGAACAATGCATAACTTAGGGGCTTCACAAAGACACTCGTTTCTTTTTTGCACTAAGTTACTGTGATGAGAAATCAAACACTAAAAATGGAATGATATCTTGAAAGAATCTACCTTTCTTATGTCAGTCCAACATCTACTTAAGCTCTCCAACTACAGGAATGCAAACTTGGAGAATGAGTGTTTCCCCTCCAAGGTAGCCTGGAAGAAAAATGGACACAATATTATACAACTAATGCTACCCATCTATTCACTGTCCTGTCCTCTAGTTTGTTAGGTACTTTAACTTGGTTGGGAGGAAGTCACTATCTCGACTAGCTACTGTTAAATGGTAGAGCCCTATAAAATACTTGGTCATTCTAATTCTTAAAGAGTCATTTTGTTAAGCATGCTGTTGAAAGTTGGTCTTTCAAAATCGAAATACAGAAAGAATTTATAAATTTATTATCAGAAAAAATTCACGAAAGTTGCATGGAAGTATTAATCTCTCCCAAGTTTGAAGTCTTCCAAATCCCTCTGATCCCAGTTGATTATATGTAAATTCCCCTCATCTCATAATAACATGTAAGTTTCCTTTACTAGGAATGGACAGAGCTATTTCTGATGGCTGTTCTCTTGGAAATTTAGGTCAACTTGATGAAGAAGTATTTTCTGAGATCAAGAGGACTATGGCTGTTCTCTCAGCCAATATGTATTTCAGGGATCAAGGGTGCTAACAATCCATCTAGGTTACCAAATTTAATAGCTGGGAAGAACTTCAAGTATAAAAGCATTGATTTTTCAAAATTTTTAGGGAGGCATTATAGCATAGGTTGATATACATTATTACCGAAGCAACAATTGAGTACAATGCATGTATATATTACATAATTCAATTGATAGTTCTTCCACATAACAGTGCTAAGAATTTATCACTCATAAATGCAGAGAAACAACCAGAACATTTGTTCTTTGTCATGGAAAATATAACTTATAAAAGGGAGTACAGGAGTAAAAATTTCTTCCAAAACTTAATAGAACACTTTTGAGTCTTGGCTCACCACAACTCAATCGATCACTAGATATGTTTTTCTCTAACCTAAGACATCAAGTCATCCAAGAATGAAAATGATATAAGACTACTATAAATATCTGTAAACGATAAATATGATAGCTCCCAGTACCTCAATGTAAGCAAAATCGTTGGTTCTATAAAGTTCCCTCCTCAAATTATGAGGTTGTCTCCCAGAAACAGTCTCTTCTGGTATCATATACCAACGCACATGACACCAATAGTTTCCATCCACTTCTTTCCACATACTGCAAACAACCACAAAACAATTCCCTCAAACAAAGCAAATCATGACCCAAAAAACCAATAAAACACAATGCAAATAATCTTTGAAAAAAAAAAAAAAAAAAAAAAAACAATGTCCTCCAACCTCTGAATGTGGGCAGCCCACAAATGGCTCGAGAGAAGCTTCTCCCTCATTGTCCTAACCCTCTTCTTCCCCTCCGGTGGCTTAGGCAATTCAACCTCCTTCCCCATTTTTCTTGCCTCACAAAATGTGCACACCCAATCACCGTCAGGAACTTGCTTCAATGGTGGTTTCAAGCATTTCAAGTGAAACCCACCTAAACAATCATCACATTCTATCATAACACTTCTCCCAGCCTTAAAACAAACTCTACACTCCTCAACTTCAGGGTCTTCATCGTCCGAGCTCGCGTCCTCTCTCCTCTTCACATACACATCATCTCCTACCTCAAATTCACCGCCATCATACACCACCTTCTTGTAATATACCCTCTTCTTCTTCTTCCCCCCATCATCCACTTTCCCATTTCTCCATTTCGCCTTCGATCTCGTCACAACAGCAGTCTTTTCTTCACAAAAATCCTCCCTTTTCTTCTTCTTTGTCTCGGATAATTCAGGCGAAACAGGCGAAAACATAACCTCAACTGAATACAACTCATCATTTTTCCGCTTTGATCTCGGGGTTTTCACATTCTCATCCTTAACATTTTTCTTGCTCTTCGGTGTTTCTCCTCTCTCTTCTTTACTCAAATTTATCCTCTGCTTCAATCCTTCACCATTTCTTCCAAGATTTGAACTTTTAGGCGAATCATTGACGGGTTTTTCAATTGATGAAAAGGGCTTTTCCGGAGTGGTGGGATCTTCCAGAAGAGAGCGGCGACGCGAAGATCGGCGAGTACCTGAAGAGGCTAGGGTTTGTGGGGTTTGTGGAGTCAGTGAAATTGAGGGAGAAAATTGTTGCTTTTGTTGCTTTCTTGGTGATTGATAGGGTCTCTTAGGTGTGGTTTCTGCCATGGATGGACTTGCAGAGAGAGAGAGAGAGAGAGTGGGGCTTAGGGTTTCAGAGAGAGAGGAGTGTGGAGCTGGGATCAGATTTAGTGAGAGAACTTCGCGCCAAAATTTCCCTCCATTTTGCTGTTCAACGTTTCGCCGTTTAATAACTATAACCGTTCCGTTAACAATGATGGACAAACCCGACCCTAGAGCTGGGCATTTGGGGCCAAGTCCAAAAACCAGACCCAAAAATCCCGTCCGAGTAAGCTTGTCCCAAAACTGGACCAGGCCTAAGGAGGAGGGCTCGGTCTCTCTCTCCATTGGGCCCTCTTTTATTTTAACCCCCTGAACAATTACATAAAACCCTCTATAAATTTTGAAATAAATAAAAATTTTAGGAGTTAAAATGAAATTAAAAAAAATTTGCATTTAATAACCGTTGGCTGCAGCCAACGATCACATGCCCATTCACCATTGACTGCCAGCCAACTTTCACATGACCGTTCACCATTGGCAGTAGCCCCCTACACCACTCAATCTCTCTACTCTCTACTCCAAATTTCCAATTAAATTCTCATTCAATTTATATTTATATTTATTATTTATTCATATTATTATTTATTTATTTATATTATTTAATTTTTTCTATTTTTCAATATCATCTCTTATTCATATTATTATTTTTTTCATTTTAATTATTTATTATTTCATCATAAATTAATAATAGAATCCCGAAATGATGCATTTGAAGGATTATCTCCAAATGAGTTTTACGTTCCATCCACCGAAGAAATGGAAGGGTTCAATCCATTTTCACCCTTTTCTCTAGAGGCAGCAACTGTAATTCAACAACCACATTCGGTCGGGATGAGGTGCAATCAAACACAAGCAAGCTGCGACTCAACAAGCACGGGCATGGCCCAACCCCCCCGACCGTCAAAGAGTGTTGTGTCCGATGTATGGCGACACTTTACCAAATCAAAATGGCCAAAGACAAATGGGGAGGGGGAAGAATCGCATGGGATATGGAATTTATATGGAACCATTATTGGCACTGAGAAGGGGACTTCGACGGTATGATGACACTTGGAGAAGAAGCACCCTCAAATAATGTAGCTGTCCGATACATCTTCAACGGGATTAGGTAGGCAAATTCAAACTCAACTTAATTTTAATCCATAATCCTCAACTCTCTCAACATGAAAATACAATGTATATGTTGCACAAGAGGAAATAGCAAGATTCATAGTTGCTATGGACTCTTCCATTTATTTATCTGAAAATCCTTATTTTATTCACATGATTAAAACTGCATTTTGTCCAACATATACCCCGTTAGTAGAAGTACAAGTAGAAGAGATATACTAAAACTTTATAACAAAATAAATAATAAACTTAAAAAACGAATTTCAAAATTTTAGGAATATATCTATTGCACTTATATCAAACATATGGGCTTGTAGATCAAACATATGGGCTTGTAGATCAAAAAGCAGATTTTTTAACTGTAACAATACATTTCTTAGATCATAGTTGGGGTTTACACCAAAAATTAATGGGTTTTAAACCATTATATGAAAAACATAGTGCTAACACTATTTATTTTACAATTCTTGAAGTTTTGCAAGAATATGTATTAATTGATAGAGTTGTAGCGCTAATGCTTGATAATACGGCTGCTAACACCGCGACAATCTCTTTATTTGAAAAGAGATTGGATCCGTGTGATGAAGACAATTTTTTTCACCAGAGATGTGCTTGCCACATCATCAATTTGATTGTTAAAGCATGTTTAGATACTATACGTTCAAAGATGGAGAGGGTGTGCGCAGCTATCAGATTTATCGTTGGCGGTAGCAATAAAAGATGGTAGGAGTACGTCAAATATTGTAGGCAGGAGGACCCACCAATTCGACCTTTGAAGTTATGTATGGACATGCCTATCCGTTGGAACTCCACCTACTTGATTTTGGAAAAAGCTTTGCCAACCGCAAGACAAATTACAGATTTCGTCAACCGGAAGAACCATCTAGAGGAAGTTGTCAACTATGATGATTGGGCAGTTTGTGAAATTTTTTATTCATTTCTTAATTTTTTTTTTATGATTCCACTAATACATTAAGTGGTATTTATTATCCGACTACTAATTTAGCGTTAGATATTTTACTTCAAATTTCTAAAACTTTTGCTAAATATAGAGATAATGATGTTTTAATGGAAATTGTTTTAATGATGGAAGAAAAATACGAGAATATTGGTTAGATATTCTATTCTTATATGAATTAGGCCTTGTTCTAGATCATAAGTTTAAATTATACGTAGTTAACTGTATAATTACTGAGATAGGTCTGCATTTAGGACATGATTATACGTTTTATTTGACTGACTTAAAGCAAAAATTGGAAAGCCTTTTTTCTTTATATCAGAACAAGTACAATGGAAGTGGAAGTGGAACGTCCAAGAGAGACGATCAGGACCCTGATGAAGACCTCCATCAAGGATCGAGCATGTGGACGTATATGGAACATGGCGGAAGTAGTAGCTCTAGCTCGTACATACATGAACCAAATGAGTTGAATCGCTACCTACAAATGGACTTGTCCTACATGACAAAGAAGGAGAAACGTGAGATGAATTTACTTCAATGGTGGAACCAACATCAAAATCGATTCTCTATTGTAGCCCAAATGGCATGTGACATTTTATCTATGCTGGTTTCTACAATTGCATCCGAGTCAGTATTTTCAACGAGTGGCCGGATTGTTGAAGGCAGAAGATGCTCTTTAACCGATGAGATGATTGAAGTGATAACATGTTTACAGGATTGGACTCGTGTAGAGAGAAGACTACAATAGCACCTTGAAGATCCCGAACTACTTGAACTCTCACATATTTTAATAATTTAAATATTGTTGACGATGAAGATGAATAATTTAATAAAAAAAATTATTTAATTGTTTATTTGTGAAGCGTGAATGTGTGAATATTACATTTATGTTAAAATTAACCATTAATTAATTAATTATTTTTTAAAATTAATTAAACTTTTAAAAACTTACTAATCTACCCCTGAAAATTACTAAACCTCCCTACAAAATTTCATTTCGCCCCTAAAATATAAAAAAAGATAGGGGGGAAAATAAAATTTTGCAAGCCCATAGGACCGGTCCGGGTCCTGAAATTGCGGTCCCAAATAGGCCCAGGCCCGGGCCTGCTTGGGATCGGTCCTTGACCAGCTCTACCTGACCCCAAAATATTTCTTAAAACCTCACTGTATCTAAACGATATTAGTGTTTTGGGTCAGGTATGTTTTATTCCCAAAAAAGATCACTCATTTTTATACATTATTAAAAAAATATATGTATATCAAGCATAAATTTATTAATATAAAAGAAGCCACATTTATAAAAAAAAAAAAATTGATTCATAATAAATTATCTACTCTTTTACCCCTCCAATTAAAATTAACGAAAAATTTCTAGCACTGGTAAACGGTAAAGGGTTACAAGTTATTATTACCAGTATCAACCACCTCTGGGTGGTCGGGTGGGGTGATAAAGAGTTTTAGGTGTATTACTCAAGAAGTCTTGAGTTTAATTCCCTTAGAGCATCTCCAAAGGACTCCTTATATGACCAAAACTCTTTGTTATAAAGAGTTTATCTATAGAAACAAGAGTCCTATAGACTCTTTATTCTTTAAATATAAATTAAAGAGTGAGTTTGACTCTCCACATTTAGAGAGTCAAATTTCACTCTCTATCCTAATTTTAAATAATAAATTGCAAGTTTCTATGCATTTTATTTATAATTTATCTCTCCTTATGTTTGTTTTCAAGGAAATGAGGATTTGTGTTTATTTATTATTATTTTTTTTTTTGTAGAGTCATTGGTTTGGTGCTTCTCTTTTGCCAATCGATCGGCATAAAATGTGAATTCGTTGATTTTGTTTTCAGGTTACAGGGAAAAAAGTTGACGTGTTTATACAATGGCCAGCGTGTTCCGTACCAAGTTGTGTTGATTAAGTCTTCAGTAAGGTCTTTGATTTGGTATGTCTGTGGTTGCAATCGATTAGCATGAATTATATGCTCACTAATGTTTGCTGATTTTATTTTCAACTTACAATTTCGGCCGAACAGTAAGTATTTGTTGTCGGTATGTTCATGTGAGGGGCAATTAGTTTTTCCCTGTATTGTTGACGCTGAGTAACATTAAACGTTCATGGTTTGTACTTTGTCCAAAGATTAAGCATTGTTTTTTCGGCCATGCTATCTGATTGTTCCGGTCGATATGTAAGCATTTGTTTTGGGACGGAGCTACGTGAAACATTTATGGATTGTTTTATATTAACAAGACTTGTGTGAGTATTGTTTTTGCTAACTCTGTTCTCAGGTGACACGATCGGTCCTCAATTATCATCGAATTATGATGCTCGGAGCATTGCTGTCATAGGGTGGCAAAATCTGATAGTAGTTGAGGTTCGATTTTGTGATTTATGAATGGAATGTTATTGTATCAGATTTGGTCATTGTGGATGTCAACATTTCGTGCTGTGGGAGTGTCATGGTTAGTATTCTGATATGATAGTGATGGTGATTCAGAGATTTGGTTATTCTGAGTTCCGTGTTGTTGGATTATGATTGTTGTTATTGTGCAAGTTATTTTGCCTGCATGAAATTTGTGGTTTGACGTTTGATGATGTAAAGATTTGTTGGTTGTAGTCAATATACGATGATTTTGATGTATACAACTGTATGTGTCCCAATCATCTATATATTTATTAATACTCAGGCTATATATCAAAGGTGTGTTTTCTAGATCATGATATGCAATGAATTATAACAAACAAATTGCTAAGCGAATCATGCCGCACAATTATGGATGACGATTTTTTACTTATTTTCTCAGTATGTGTGCATTGCATTGGCATCTGGAAGGCCTAACCATCTTGATGTTCTTATAATGTTTTCTAAGTTGTAGGTTTAACAAAATCTTTACTATCCTTTCCTTTGGTCTTGCGCCAATGAAATATTCCTAAAATGACCAATATAGTAACATATGAGATTGTATCAATGTATCCAAATTCCGATCAAATTCATGGTTTGGCAGTGTTC